AAAAAAAAATCGAGTCACTGTTACATTTTTGACTTCGTAACTCACATTTTTGATAAAATAACTAATAAATAACTTTAAGTATTTTTTATTTATTAGATAAAAATATGAAATGTTTTGATAGTTACACAATTTTTTTTAATCTCCAAACAAGCTTCCGTAGTTTTCTGTTTTAGTTTCTGTAAAAAAAAATTTCAGCTTATCTTTTTTGTTTTATCCTGTATTGTGAGTTTGAAATACGACTAGTCAGAAGAAGGAAAAACAGCTGTAGTACATTTCCACTCTTGCTATAGGCTGCAGGCAGTCACGTGTCTCCCATGCGCCAAGCCCTGTGACTCCGCCCAACGGCTGCTGTGATGTTATGAAAGCAGAGCAGTGGGTGTGACGAGCGGGGTTCTGCGGCCACAGACTCACAAACGGGTAAATTAACTCGTCTTTTTCTTCGCTTTTATGTAAAAAGCCGCTCCAACGGGCTCTGTAGCATCTGTATTCAGATCTGCCGGCGCTTTGTGTCCGTGTGCAGTCGTGGCAGGCTGTGATCCGTCTGCAGTCCATGCTGTTTAATACATAACACAACACGCAGCATCACGTGTGCGCGGCAGCTGTCGGGACAACACCGTGCCCTGTTGGGTTTATGCAACTTTATGCAATGGTTTCAGTCTCGTGCAGCATAAACACACAAAGGTGGATTTATATGTTTTAAATTAAATGTTGTTTGTTTGGGATTTTTAATGTGTTACAATGTATTTCAGTGGTTTTTAAGTAATTATTTTCATATAAAATCAGTTCTGTCCCCATAAGGTCACAAGGTGAGACACGTGGTGAAGTTATGAGTTGTTTGAGTGGTTTTTTTTATTTGTTTTGTTTTTGGCGTTTTCTGAATATTAAAAATAACAAAAAGTGTCCAGGTTGAGCCTATAAATATTTTCAAGGTTCAAGGTTCTTTATTTGTCACATGCATAGTTATACAAGTATAACACACAGTGAAATGTAGCCTGACACGCTGGTCTTCATAGTCATCATTAATGGTAAGGTGCATATTTTGTATGGCGATATTGTTGCGATACAGGGATACACAGGACCAACAACTGCTGAATGTGTCTGTCTGTTTCTGTCATTGTGGACAGCAACAGATTTTTGACCATGTCTCAGTTTCGGTGTCCAGAAACAGACTGCATGTTATTGCCAACTTGACTGCATTCAAGTGCAGACTGATATCACACTGATGACAGACCAGTATCAGACTGAATGGATATAGTTTAACTTTTGTTATCTGCAGTTGATTAAATGTGATAAAGCCGACGACTCAGCATATCACAAAATTTTACTATAATATCCTTTTGTGCAGTGTCTGGTGATTCTCAATGTAATATTTGTGATGAAAAAGTCAGCATAGGCTCAAGAAAGTTGTTGCTGTTATTTTTCAGTATTTTCAGAGCAAGTGAGTTAACTGAATGAGGAAAATCACCAGATTGCCAGCTGGCAGCTGACAGTATGAATCTTGTGACGGGCAGTCATAAGTGGTACACGACACGAACGCTGCAAATCCTCTGTAATGCATCATGGAGCACATCTTTCATCTCGGTGTGTAAAAATTGTAATTTTTTGTGCTTTTTCTCATTTGTTCTGCACAGATCCACTACACTCTTTAGCAATGCTTCGCATCACCTCTGCCACCCTGTACACCTGCTCACAGAGGGTGAGGCTGCTCCTACCTCCTTCAGCCTCCACCTCCACTGATACCTCTCCCAGCAAAAGAGTGGAAAACCAGCGCACAGTGGACTCCCTTTATGATCTTTCAGTGGACATTCGAAAGGTCCGCAAGTTCAGAGGCTGGGTTCTGTCTGAGTGCTCTGCGTATGTCTCTGAGACCGCTGACCTGCTGAGAGACATGGGTGCAGACACAACGGCTATCGCCCACATCCTGGAAACTCACCCTGAGGCTATCCTGTGTCGCCCAGAGGACGTCGCCACGCAGCGAGACCTCTGGTTGTCTGTCTGTCCCAGCAAACGTCAGTTGATGAACATCATTGAAAAGTTCCCAGCCTCCTTTTTTACACTTACTCACCACGGTAACCAGCAGGCCAACATCCTGTACCTCCAGAACCTTCGCCTTAGCAAGAGGATCATTAGCAAGCTGATGGCCAGTGCCCCGCAGAGCTTCAGTCAGCCTGTGGAGCGCAACCAGGAGGTCATCCACACGCTGAGGGAGATCTACCTCGACCTGGGTGGAGAGGAGAGGAACCTACGTGTCTGGCTGCAGAAGCTTCTCAGCCAGAACCCTTACATTCTGCTGCGACCAGCTGAGGCTTGGAGGGACAGTCTGGGCTTCCTGAGGGAGAAGGGGTTCACCACAGAGGAGCTCCTCAGCCTGGTCTCCAGCCTCAGAGCCTCCATCGCAGAGCTGAAGCCTGAGGACATGCAACGGGCGATGGACTACATCGAAGCGGCTCTCTGCTGCTCTAAAGACGAACTTAAGCAAGTAGTGATCCGCTGCCCTGCCGTCTTGTACTACTCCTTGCCCACCTTATTGGGGCGGTTTCAGGGGCTGATGGATGCGGGAGTGACGATGGATCAGGTGAAGGAATCTCCAAATGTACTCGAGCTCACCACGCAGCTCGTGCTGTATCGTATCCAGAAACTAGCCTCCTACGGATACGACATTCGCTCCGGCAGCCTGGCCGTTATTGTGGGAACAAAGAAGGACTTTGAGGCGAGTTATGGCAAGCTGCAGCTCAGGCAGCAGAGGCCGCTCTTCAACCCTGTGGCTCCTCTGAAATCTGCTGAGGATTGAGTGTCGGTGCGCACCTTGTTATGAAATGTGGTTTACTGCTTCAGCTTTGTGCAAGGAAAATAAGAAAAGCCAGGCAAATTAAAATCCCACAAAAGGCTGAAGACTGTTCAGGAAATATGACACTATCTGTAAAAGTTTCCAGTTTGGGAAGTGCCTGTTGTGTGTGTGAAACAGCTGCTTTTCTTCTCTGAGAGAAGACTTTAACTGCAGCACAGAGTCTGTATGGTTTTTAATCCTCAGCTGTAAAAGGCTGATGCAAGTTTGTGAATGTAATAACTCAAGAACGAGGCCAAGTAGGAGCTTCAAATCGATACTATTCAGTGGCCTCAAGGTTAGAGGTCAAATTTTCTGAAAATCTTGTGAATGCAATAACTTGAGAACAAGGCGATGTAGGATTTTGAAATAGATATCACAGGTGTGTCTCCTTTGGAGGATATGTGTGATAGGTGGTGTAGTAGTTAAGTATGGTGACAGATTCTTTGCCTTAACAGAAGACCATTCATTTTTCTCTGGCCAAACAAAACCATTTTATGCATGAGAAAATAAATTATTTAAAAAGTGTTTTTACTATTTTGTTGATTTATTTATTTATTTATTTTTATCTTTTTGCTCTTTTGAGGGAAGGCCAAGACTTCTTTTTTTCTTTAATTGTTCATTGATAGTGAAGCACAGGCCGTGGCATGCAGGCCTACCAGGTACCGCTGGTACCATTTGACAACCAGTGGAAAAAGAAAGGGAGGGTGGGACATGGAAGTGAGGATAAAAGGTTGTATGCTTGTTTGGAAAATCAAGCATTTTCATTGTGGCTGTAAGGGGAGTGGTCAGGATGTGGTCCACCTTGTGATATTTGGATAAATTACCTCCAAGATTAAAACAGCATTAGATGGACATTGAAGCCAACATCAGATGGTCTTTAACCTGCCAGCTCACTAATACAAAGTCCACAGTGGTTGCACTGATATGCACCAGTGTGAGTGTAGAGAAAGTGGTAGTCCAGTGTATTCACCTCTCCTGCTGTGAGACTACACTTATGCCCTATGCAGTGTCTGGGCCGCAGGTTCAGTAGGTCAGACTTTTACTGGCTACCAAATAAAGCCACATATAAATCTAATACTGTACCTGTAGTGAGAACATTGACAAAGTACACTCACTGGCCACTTTATTGGGTACACCAAACAAACAAACAAAACCCCCCAAAAACCCAACAGCAGCCAACATGTCTTAATACTCTTTATCAATTATGGATCCCCAACCTCCTCTTATAACAACTATGCACGGTGCTGAGTCTGCATAATAAATGGTTTGAAAAACGTTAATATAATAATGTAAAACAGCTCTATTACCGGGTTGCTTTGTGTACAGGTCTATGAAGTGGCAGGGGGATTTTTCCATTGTCTGTACTGAATAATGCTACTTTAATTGCTCTACGTGGTCGAGACTGAAATGTTGTGCCTGTTTGTCATCTTCTGCTTCGCCGCAAATAGTTATTTAACTTGTTTAATGACTGAGCCTCAGGTTTGATAACTAAAGGCATCACACTAAAGCCGGTGGAATATATTAAGATCTCTAAAATTATTCTTAGACACTACAATAGGTCATCCAGCCAATTGCGTTGCTTTTGAAGGTACCATTGTAATGTGTATCAACTTGAATGAAAACCTACAAATCTAGAAAGGGCTGATTACATTTGGAAACTGCAAATTTTTCTCAAAGATTGAACTCTGACTTTTGAGTTACAAAGAAAAGACTGAAACTATTTGTATATTTGAAGCTGTTTTAATTAAACAAGCACATTGAGAAGGAACAAGAAGCAAGTGAAGCATTTCTCTCCAGTGGTACATTTATTAGGGAGTATATGGGTGGTGGGGTGGCACACCAGGAATATGCAGGCTCTGTAGTCCTCTCACCTTTTCTCAATAAACACAGACGAGGGCAATAACATGATGGTTTGTGTCATATAGAAGTTTGAAGGAATAAAACGAGTCCACTAGTACTGAAACACAGAAAGGATTTTTGCTGATATTTACACTCAATGGGCTCAATGTGGAAAAACTTTAAAAACTCGGGTGCATTAGCAGACATTTCTGACCATTTATGTTTTAATGGAAGGTCTAAAAATGCATTTCTTTTTATTGAAAATTTCCCCAAAAGAACGATCAATCCACAATGAATTCTCATATCAAAAATATATCAACGGGTCTATGGCTACACAAAGAGAGAAAACACACATACAATATCCAAATATGTACACGTTGTATGTGAGCTGCTTTTAGCAAATTCATTATATACACAAAGACTTTAGTCTCGGCATTATTAACCCAAACAGGAGCACAGTGTAACATCACTGGCTGGCCCACACTGTAATAATATTCAGTCCGATTAAGTTGAGAAACATGTTTTGTGACAGGTGGGGATGCCCGTCCTGAAGGTGTGTTCGTGCATTGTAGTGCTGTAAGAAATATTTGAGTCTATTTTAGCGTCCGTTTAGTTTTGGCTGTGTTCTCGATATGATTGAAACACCTGCAACAGAAGAAAGAACAATAAGTGGCATGTTCAGACAGTTCTGAAAATACATTTAACTCCTTCAGTGCTGACTTTTTCAGCGCACTGAAAAACATTCCAACATTACATCTTAAGGAAAACAAAACATTGAGAATCTGACCTACAACTTTTCCTGTCACATGACCTGAGGTGAGTGAGGGTAATCTGCTGAAATTAGGTGCTTTGAGACCATACAAATATTTACTGCATTACAGGAACTCTGAGTGAAGTAGGTGTACTGTTACTGGTCCAGATGTGTGTCTGCTGTTTGATCAACGAATGAACGGAACACTGGGAATCCGGCATTTAAAGAACATAAACACTGATAAAAAAAAAATCAGCCATGTCAACAAACACTCAACTATCTTCCTCTCATCTGAACTCACAATCACAATGGTTGCAGCTGTTTCAGTTAAATCCACAGCAAAGCAAAACATAAAATAAAGAGGCTGAAACATGACTACAAGGAAATGAAAGCAACATGAGGTGGTGCTGCATTTAAACCTCTGGCTGGCAATTACATCACTTCAGAGTTCCTCTTAACAGTGGTTAGTAAACTGCTATTAATTACTGACTTAAAATTTGTGTATCTCATTGTGTGGATATTGTGGATTATAAAGGCAGGAACGGCTGATAAAAACACTGAAAAGGTTTGGCTCATGCCTGCCTTGTTCAGATGGTTTCTACTGGCAGAAGCAGTGAAAACAAGGACTGACAGTCAGTACGTTTCACCGTATTATTAAAAACAAGGAATAAAATTCCTATTTCTGACCCACCTCTCTGAATGCTGCTCACTAAAGTACATCTTGTATGTGTTTTATATAATAATAATAATAATAATAATAATAATGTGTGAGACTGCAACTGACCTCTTTAGTGGATGCTCTGTCTCTGGACTTTGGAACTTTTGCTATTCCCAGAGTCCTCACTGTGTCGTTTGCCACTGGTCTGAGTGGTGGGGTGGTGTTCAGGCCCTAAAAAAACATAAGAGCACATTTCAATAAACCATGAAACTATAAATTTCGACTAAATACAAAAACATGGCTTAAAATGAAAACACTCTTTTAGGGGTGGCGTGCAGTGATGGTCAAACACAGGACTGGGACTCAAGTTTTTCAACCAGTTAAGAAAGATTAATAAAAGAAATCATCATCAATCAGTGAAATGTTTCACTCGCACCTTTTTGAATTACAGGACCAGGATTCTGCTGCGTGCCTTGAGTGTAACACATCATACTGGTACTGGCAGCGTAACCTGGAACTTCAATTAAGATTCAAGGATTAGCAGCGAAACACTGAAGAAGATGCATGAAAGGATGCAGTTAATGCATGAAGCACATAAAGTACGCAAAACTCGTTCCACTTGGGGACCGGTTTCATATTGTCCAATCAACTGGAATCCTTTTTTGTTTTTTTTGTTTTTTTAAAAAAGCTGCTTTCAGGTGCTCCCTTATTTACTTTATTTACCAGGGGTCACCACGGTGGGTATGCTGCATTCTTTAATGCTGGATGCCCCAGAGGCACTTGTGTCTCCTCCTGAGATCAAACCACTACACTATAAAACCATTGTGTAAACACCTGCTATATGTTCAAATATCCATCCATTGTCTTCCACTAATAGACTGACTCTATCCCAGCAACTCACATTCAAACCTAAGGGCAATTTACAATCACCAGTTAACCTAACAACACTCACTGCATGTCCGTGGGAGATAGCCAGAGTACCTGGGAGAACCCACGCACACACGGGGAGAATGCGCTGACTCCACAGGAAAGAGCTTCCTGCTTCGAGGCAACAGTGCTAACCGCTGCGCCACCGTGCAAACACTGAAATATCATTCTACACAACATTCTCACATATCAATGGATGTGGTTTTCTGAACTAAACCACTGAACTAAATCTGAACAGCCTAAAATGTTCTTCAAAAGACATCCCTTACTTTTAATTAGTCTGTAAAAACAGGCCCCCTGAGCAGTTTGCTGTTATCAAAGATCTAAAAGATCTAAATGAAATGCAGCAATCAAGGCTACAATCATGTTAAATTTGTTTAAAGAAATGTAAACACGTTTCTTTGTTTTTGTTTTTATTTTTATTAAAAAATATGTTAAAATGCTGTGATCAGAAAACCATCCACTCCATGTAGACCCGACAACAAATCAACACAAACAAATGTACTTCCACGTGTTATGAAGGTGTAGGGGCAGTGACAAGCATCGCCACCTCATAACAACAAAGTTTGGAGTTTAAATCAGCTGGTTGTGTCAGGAGGAAGTCCTTTTACTTTTCTACTAAATTTAGACTTAAAGGGACCACTGCTCTCTTCTTAATGGTGTGTGAAATTTAGCACAGTCATGTTCAATGGCTTTTCTCTGGGTTTCTCTGGGTAGCAAAGAGCCAAAGCTTCCCAGCTAATCAGCACGCCTGTTACTGAAGGAAAATATCCTGCAGGGTGAGCAGATTATTTTTCTTAGAATGACAGATGGGTGATGGTCAGCTGCAACTAAAACTAACTGTCTTGTTGTTTAGACTCATAAAAATGTAGAGTCTACAATAAAAAAAAACCTGGAAACTGAGATAATCAGTGATACAGTCCAGTTATAGCACCAGTAAAAGCGGCACACACAGGAAAACGATAAGCATCAAGTGGATAATCAAGTGAAGGTGCACGGGTAGTTAGTCCCCACCATGTTGGTGCATGCCGACGCTGGTTTGCGGATCCCCCTGCACGTACATCATGACACCACTTTGCCAGTCTCCCTGGGAGTGAACTGGCATCTGATAGGCTGAGAAATAAATAAAAGAACAAACAGGTCTTCTTCAAAGAGTTCACTGCCAGAGGCTACACAGGAAGTCATGAAACATCCACAAGTTTGAAGTGTCAGAGGAGGAGTGGGTCTCTGTGCCACTTACTAGATGGAGCTGCAGCATCACGTGAAGTCTCAGAGAATCGCATCGAATCTGAGGATGCCTCAGCGTTTCCATTTCCATTTCCGTTGCCATTAGAGCCAGATGGAACTGTAGCCAAAAGACCTGAAGACACAGAGAGTTACAGAGTTAGTCCAAAACATACACAAACAATAATATTAAAAACACCAAATTAAAACACTGAAAATGTATATGGTTTAAATACCTCATTTGTAGATATTTATGCTGACTTTGAGTTTTTTTCCATTACTACTTTTGAGACATTTTAAAATCACTGACTACAGTCCAAAATAAGGCATTTATTTATTTATTTTTAAGTGAATCAGGTATTTTCATTTCCAGCTTTATAATTTTAATCTTAGGTCTAGGAGAGCAGCTTTGTATGATTAACAATGTCTAATAGTTCTTATTGCGCTTTGGTGCTGCCCATCCAAATTAAAAGCTTTGAACAGAAGTGGGTAGGACTTATGAAAGATATCCACTCTCAGTGACACCATAGAGATGTCAAGATGTGGCATTACTGGGATTATTTACACATCCCAGCCTCGTTGAGCTTTTAATATGAGCATCCATCACTGTAGAAGTGTATACATGACAGAAAGCAAGGAAAAGCCTAATACCTCCACTTCAGAGATATTTGTGGGGTTCAGTCTGTTATTGGAAAGCTGATGGAGCAGAGTGTGTGACATGGACCAAAGGATTGCAAATGACACCAAAGTAGCAGTTTCAGTTGTGTTGAAAAATATTTAAAAACAAGGGAAGACTTGTTCTGAAAAAATCTAACTGCAAATCACTGCTTGTGATCCATCAGTTGATCTTTCTTCATTTTAATTTTAATAATGCTGTATCTGCATCCTTACCGAGGCCTCTGTAACAGGAGAGCTGCTGGTAGATCTGTTTCATTCGCTCGATGTTGAGACGGCTGGCCTCTGCATGGTGCACCATAGGCTTTGGATAATGTACTCCAATAATACATTTGGCTGCCTTCTGCACAACCTCTGGAGCGTTCCAGGGATCATAAATATACTTGGCTGGAAATCCCCTCAGAATGGGCAGGTAGCGGCTGAGCGGAGAGATGAAGAGGTTTAGTTGGCATGTGGGTGGGATAATTAATTTCCAGGAAAAGCGTCAACTGCTATGGTGGAATTAACCACCCAAATGTTAGATGGAAATCTCTCAAACACAGACTCCTCTGATATTTTTGAGTAGGCACACATTTTATTGCTTGGTTGTGTCTGTTTACTAAGTGAGATAATGTGTGTCACAAGAATTTTCACTAAAATGTTTTTTTATGGATTTAATTTTACATGATCAAAGCCTTAGATTTACTGCTGCATTGTAAATTTTTACTGCTCTTGCAAAAATTGTCAAGTACAGATGTTTTGACAGATGCAACCCTACCGTATGTAATCTCCGTTGGGGTCTGTGCGGCGGCCGAAACCCACAGGGCAGTAGCAGTGGAAGAACTGCTGGAAGAAAGAGCTGCAGGAGAGCCACATCCAGCTGCCTGCATTCACACTCCAGTCTGCATCCAGCAGCAGCTCCTCAAACACCTGAACACACAATCAAAAACATCTCAGATCGACTGGGAAGCAATATTTGGTCCTGCTGAGACGGTTAACAACAAATGAGTCAAGTGTTTGAGTATGACAAAAAAATGACTGTGGGTAAATTTCTGATTAAATATATACAGTTCCCTGATGTCAATTAGCTGCTCCGACAGAGGATTTCATGCCGTATTTGGACTGTAGCTGGAGACGATAATCTGTCTCCTGCTCTGTTTTCTGGTTGCTGTGCTGCTAGAGCAGAGCAGAGACTAACGGACTGCAGTTCATTACAGTTCCATTACAGTTAATGCTGAGGATTAGTGACTTACTAAAGAAGCAGCTGATTATGCTGATCAGCTATTTATTGCCACAAGGTGCTTAGAATATTTAATATTTACTGGGAATAATAATAATGGCTATTAATTTAAAAATGCCACTGTGTCTTGAAAGGAGCAGCACTAATTATGTAAATAAAATAAAATACTATTAAATAGGTGCCAGTATTTTTTACTAACACAACAATATTGGCACTTATGGTATAAATTTCTAGTTGATATCTTTTTGTGTAGACACATTTTTAGAAAACTTGACCTCTGACCTTGACCTACAGGTCTAGGGCACCAATATTCAAACTCATCTGAGATATTCAGTAGATGGTATCACTTTCAAAAATACCCCCATAGGGTAGGGTTCAGTCTTGTATTTGCAACCAGAAGAAGAATACAAGTCTCAGACGTTTGTGCATAATTTTAGATTATTAGACGAGGAAGCTATAGCCTCCTTGTACATACAGTCTGTTTTCAGCTCCTCAGTGAAGAACCATTTGGGGTTTTCAGGGCTTTCGTTTGTTAAATGTTCATGAAGAAAAAAAAACATATAAATGTATTAAGTAGTCCATTACTCACTATAAACAGTAGCTTCTAAAAGCAAAAAACTAATTTTGGATGCCAGCAAGTAAACTTATATTCTATTTTTAAACTCCCCAAGTGGTGTTTGGTATGAATTAAATAGAAACCAGATACTAGCATTACTCCCATCAGAACAATAGTAGGACACTGTCTACCTTCATTCCCTCCTCCCAGCTAATCCACAGGTCTCCTCTTGTCAGGAAACAGGCCACAGCATGCCTAGCCAGGTGGTGGATCCAGCCTTCCTGCCTCAGCTGGGTCATGATGGCATCAATCCAGGGGAAGCCGGTGCGGCCTTCTGCCCACTTGGCCAGCGCTTCGGGGTTGCGGTCCCAGGGTATCTGAACGCAGATGGGGTTACTCTCCATCTTGTCGAAGCAGGGGTTGTTGGTGGCCGCTGTGTAAAAGAACTCACGCCAAAGCAGCTGACCGTAGAGCGAGAGAGGAGGGGAGCTGTTCTTCTTCACCTTGTCAAGTAGGAGAAAGACACGTTACTGTCTGAGGCAGTCAGAGATTTGACTACACCAGCTGTATATTACGCAGGAGGGGTTTTTTTTTTTGTTTTTTTTAAAGGAAAATTATTATTATTAGAATAGAATAGAATAGAATAGAATAGAATAGAATAGAATTCAACTTTATTGTCATTGCACATGCACAAGTACAGGGCAACGAAATGCAGTAAGTAGTACTAGTAGTACTACTACTACTACTATAAGTAGTAGTAGTAGTGGTAGTAGTAGGTAATGTGATAAAAGATAAAGACTAAACCACTATATTACTTTAGCTCATTTACATATAAGCACTTGAGTCCAAACATACAACGAAAAAATTCAAGAGGGAGGCAGTACTGGTTAATTCACCTCATTACAGAATAAACTGTGAATCATTACATGGCAAAATAAACAGCCAGAGCATTAAATCACCCCTGCAAATATATCTGATGTCACAGTACTGGGTGTACCTTCCATGACTCACTCCTTGTGTTGGGTTTTTTCCATTACTCATATCTGTTATGGGCCCCATTTTGTAGACAAT